ACTCTACCCACTGAGCTACAAGCACTCTACCCACTGAGCTGCACGTACTCTGCCCACTGAGCTGTAACCACTCTATCCACTGAACTGGAAGCACTCTGCACACTGAGCTGCAAGTACTCTACCCACTGAGCTACAAGCACTCTACCACTGAGCTGCAAGCACTCTGCCCACTATGCTACAAGCACTCTACCCACTGAGCTGCAAGCACTCTACCACTGAGCTACAAGCACTCTACCCACTGAGCTACAAGCACTCTACCACTGAGCTACAAGCACTCTGCCCACTGAGCTGCAAGTACTCTACCCAGTGAGCTACAAGCACTCTAACCACTGAGCTACAACCACTGTGCCCACTGAGCTGTAAGCACTCTGACCACTGAGATACAAGCACTCTACCCACTGAGCTGCAAGCACTCTGCCCACTAAGCTACAAGCACTGTACCCACTGAGCTGTAACCACTCTGCCCACTGAGATACAAGCACTCTACCACTGAGCTACAAGCACTCTGCATACTGAGCTGCAAGCACTCTGCCCACTAATCTGCAAGTACTCTACCCACTGAGCTACAAGCACTCTAACCACTAAGCTACAACCACTGTGCCCACTGAGCTGTAAGCACTCTGCCCACTGAGCTACAAGCACTCTGCCCACTGAAGTACAAGCACTCTACCACTGAGCTACAAGCACTCTGCACACTGAGCTGCAAGCACTCTGCCCACTGAGCTACAAGCACTGTACCCACTGAGCTGTAACCACTCTGCCCACTGAGATACAAGCATTCTGCCCACTGAGCTACAAGCACTGTACCCACTGAGCTGTAAGCACTCTGCCCACTGAGATACAAGCACTCTACCACTGAGCTACAAGCACTCTACCCACTAAGCTGCAAGTACTCTACCCACTGACCTACAAGCACTCTGCCCACTGAGCTACAAGAACTCTACCACTGAGCTACAAGCACTCTAACCACTAAGCTGCAACCACTGTGCCCACTGAGCTGTAAGCACTCTGACCACTGAGATACAAGCACTCTACCCACTGAGCTGCAAGTACTCTACTCACTGAGCTACAAGCACTCTGCCCACTAACCTGCACAACTCTACTCACTGAGCTATAAGCACTCTGCACACTTAGCTACAAGCACTGTACCCACTGAGGTATAACCACTCTGCCCACTGAGTTGCAAGCACTCTACCACTGAGCTGCAAGCACTCTCCCCCCTGAGCTACACTCAGTCTGCCCACTAAGCTGCAAGCACTCTGCCCACTGAGATACAAGCACTCTGCCCACTAAGCTGCAAGTACTCTACCCACTGAGCTGCAAGCACTCTGCCTACTGAGCTACAAGCACTCTACCCACTAAGCTACAAGCACTGTACCCACTGAGCTGTAACCACTCTGCCCAGTGAGACACAAGCACTCTACCACTGAGCTACAAGCACTCTACCCACTGAGCTGCAAGCACTCTGCCCACTGTGCTACAAGCACTGTACCCACTGAGCTGCAAGCACTCTGCCTACTGAGCTACAAGCACTCTCCCCACTGAGCTGCAAGCACTCTACCACTGAGCTACAAGCACTCTGCCCACTGTGCTACAAGCACTGTACCCACTGAGCTGCAAGCACTCTGCCCACTGAGCTACAAGCACTCTGCCCACTGAGATAGAAGCAGTCTGCCCACTAAGCTGCAAGTACTCTACCCACTGAGCTACAAGCACTCTACCACTGAGCTACAAGTACTCTGCACACTGAACTGCAAGCACTCTACCCACTGAGGTACAAGCACTCTACCACTGAGCTACAAGCACTCTACCCACTGAGCTACAAGCACTCTGCCCACTGAGCTGCAAGCACTCTACCCACTGAGCTGCAAGCACTCTGCCCACTAAGCTACAAGCACTGTACCCACTGAGCTGTAACCACTCTACCCACTGAACTGCAAGCACTCTGACCACTGAGCTACAAGCACTCTGCCCACTGTGCTACAAGCACTGTACCCACTGAGCTGCAAGCACTCTGCCCACTGAGCTACAAGCACTCTGCCCACTGAGATAGAAGCAGTCTGCCCACTAAGCTGCAAGTACTCTACCCAGTGAGCTACAAGCACTCTACCACTGAGCTACAAGCACTCTGCCCACTGAGCTACAAGCACTCTGCACACTGAGCTGCAAGCACTCTGCACACTGAGCTACAAGCACTCTGCCCACTAAGCTACAAGCACTGTACCCACTGAGCTGTAACCACTCTACCCACTGAACTGCAAGCACTCTGCACACTGAGCTGCAACTACTTTACCCACTGACCTACAAGCACTCTGCCCACCGAGCTACTAGCACTCTGCCCACTGAGCTGCAAGCACTCTGCCCACTAACCTGCAAGTACTCTACCCACTGAGCTACAAGCACTCTGCTCAGTGAGCTACACACACTCTACCTACTGAGATACCAGCACTCTACCCACAGAAGTACATGCACGTTATGCACTCAGCTACAAGCACTCCCACTGAGCTGCAAGCACTCTGCCCACTAACCTGCAAGTACTCTACCCACTGAGCTACAAGCACTCTGCTCAGTGAGCTACACACACTCTACCTACTGAGATACCAGCACTCTACCCACAGAAGTACATGCACGTTATGCACTCAGCTACAAGCACTGTGTTCAACGTGCTCCAAGCAGTCGTCCCACTGATCTCTGACCAATCTGCCAAGTGAGCGGCGCCCCAGTCCTCCTGGTAGGTTCTTGTGCTTTTTCAGTGGTGTGTATGTTTCTAGCGGGAAAGTCGGCCTCGTAGGTAGCTGGAGGCTAGCCCGCCAGAGTCAGAACTGGGTGACAAGATGGGCGGAGGGCGAGGTGACGTCAGCGCTCGTTCCGGTCCGCGCGGTCCTACGTGTGTGAGGCTGTGGAACCCTCGGACCCGGATCCGAGGCCCGAGCGTGTGTCGTGAGACTTAGCCCGCTCTCGCCGGTGTTTTCTATCCCCCACCTGTGAGTCACGTGCGCCCCCCCGCCCCCACTCAGCGCGCTAACACTTCCTTCCCAGTGCTGGACTGAGTGCTCCAGCCCAACCAGATGGGTCAGAGGAGGACAGATCCGATCCCGGGCTCAGTTCTGCGAGCCTAGCCGCAGTGCTTTTGTGCTCAGTTCCCCCGCAGTGCTTTTGTGCTCAGTTCCCCCGCAGTGCTTTTGTGCTCAGTTCCCCCGCAGTGCTTTTGTGCTCAGTTCCCCCGCAGTGCTTTTGTGCTCAGTTCCCCCGCAGTGCTTTTGTGCTCAGTTCCCCCGCAGTGCTTTTGTGCTCAGTTCCCCCGCAGTGCTTTTGTGCTCAGTTCCCCCGCAGTGCTTTTGTGCTCAGTTCCCCCGCAGTGCTTTTGTGCTCAGTTCCCCCGCAGTGCTTTTGTGCTCAGTTCCCCCGCAGTGCTTTTGTGCTCAGTTCCCCCGCAGTGCTTTTGTGCCTCTGTGTGGTCGCCCTCCCCCACCCCAGTGTGACATCACGTGTGTTGACCACGGTGCTGGCAGAGGCCTCAGGCTTGTTGACTCGGTTGCCTAGCAACGCCGCCTGGGCAACGCCCGTCCCAGGCTGCAGCTGCCAAAAGAAA